TTACAATGACCCAGCTGGGGCAGTCCTAACTGCCCCAAAAGCTACAAAAAAAAATCCACTCCTGTGCTTGATTCTTGGCTCTCACTATCTCCGCTTTCCCCATCTTTGCAGGCTCTTAACAAGGATGTGGTTTAGTAAATATTCAGGCTAACACATGTAGGATTAGAGCATTCAGCCATACTGAAATCCTGCTGCTTTCTGATATTTTACAAATCAGAATTTCATTGCTAACAGCGCTCCTTTCACTCACAATATCCCAGGACTGTTTATAAGAGAAATGGAAGGAAGGAGAGACATTGCAGAAGCACCATGAAGTGTAACACTCATGAAGAGACTTCCACTTAAGTGTTGAAGATGATGCTGAAAAGGAGAAATCACAGGGATCTTGCATTTTCAGTCACCTGGGATCCAAAGATGCCAATTTTGGGTTCATTCCCAGGTGACAAGAGACTTTCTGACTGTATGCAGCCAAAACAGACACCTATCCAGAACAAAGGAGCAAGATCCATTTTCTGGGGAGAAATAAAGCTCTGCAAACATAGGAAGCTTTAGGGAGAAATGGGGGACAGAAGTTCAGTTCAATAAAATAAGTTTCACAAAGGGTTTGCTCCCATTACAGTTGGAAGTACGAGATCAGCAGTGTCTCAGTAGCTGAGGGTAGAAGCCAAAGCCTTTTGAGAAGCCAAAGCCTTTTGTAAAGGGTTGTAGTATTTTATCCTGAGCTCTTGCAGTACTTAGTAACTGCAAAAACTAGCCAGCTGATAAAGGCAGCTTCTTCTGCTTGTTAGCTTAAAAAAAAAAAAGTCATTGCAATTTCCTTCTGCAGAATATTGCTTTCCCTGCTCCTGCCTAGGATTTCCCAGGCGTGAGGTTTGCTGTGGACAGACAACAGGGTTTGGGATAACCAATAAAAACCAGAACACAGTTATCCATCTAACTCTTATTTCGCCTTTACGCAAAGCAACCCATCAGCATCTCCCAGGCCGATGCCGATGGAAAGCTTCGACGGGAAGGATCGGACCCCTGATCCTGCAGTGTCTCGCGATGGGTGTTATCAACTGCTGTCGCCAGCTCCACCTAAAGGAAGAGCCATTCTGGGGCTGCAACATGCGGCAGCAGGTCATTTAAGGTGAAGCACAAGCTGTGCATGGAGCATTGCGTTCATACGCTGCAATTAGCAATACTGCTCTGTACGCTCAATTGCTGGCAATCCATCAACAACATAGCCTTATCTGGTGACTACCTAGGAAGCTGCCATCCGTACTTTAAGCCTTCAAAAGCAACTACATGCCAAGCCTTATTCACCCACGTTTTCTGTGTTCAGGGCAACAGAGCCCTGTTAAGATGATGCACTGATCTCATAAGAACTTCCTTGGTTGAAAGCAGTATGAACAAGCCATAGTTAGATCAGGAATTACTTCCTCGCACCAGCTACAGAGATTATTAGGCTCTGAATCTCTGCAAGACCATTTCTTCTTTCTTTTATGCTTTTCATTAAAATGATACATTAAAAATTTAAAAAAAAAAAACATGAAAGGGGAACTTGCCAGCAAAGCTGAAGCCGCACAACAGAAAAAGGAATTTTGCAGCTGCTCAGAATTAATTCAAAAAGGAGAAAAAGGGTGCAGGTTGGGTGCCTTCAAACCCCACCTCCCCCCTCCACTTCCAAAAGTGGAGAGGAAGGTAGCAGATAATTATGGATGCAGCAAGCACTCTCCCAGAAAACTTAGAACTCAAGCTTACAATTAAAATTCTCATTTTAATGCAAATTTTGTATGTATAGTAGAAAGCCTGATCCGCATAAATTTGAGGGAAGAGGAGAGGAATCATTAAAAGTCCGGCTGTTGAGCAGCAGCACAATTCAGGAAATACTCATACTCGTCAACAGACGATTTCAAGGGAGGAAAGCTTTTTGCAAGGCTGGGTTGTTGCCCAAATTCAGGTGAAGGCCTTTTAGTTTAGAAACCCCAGTCTTTTAAAACACAGTCGTGCTGTAGCCTACCCTAAGAAGAGTTGCGCTTTGAATGTGTACCTTGCTTTCTGATAACTGAAGGATATAGACATAACACATATACATAAACCCTATTCTTTGCTTCCCAGGATTTTGCAACATTTGAGACCTCCCATACATGACACACTCATTTCGATAGAAACCATGCTCAAGAAAATGTTATACTACAAATGCCTCTACAATGGGTTTTGATAGGGCTGGACATATGGCAATATAGTAGGTAATATTAACAATCTGCCAAGGCCTTTATGTAAAACAAATAGGTGTTTAAATTATAGTATGGTATTTGTTTGACTAACCTCTTAGATACACCTAAATACTGTGGCTGGACACACGTCAATCAGAGTCAATTAGCATACGTAAGACTTTCTGTCCCCATCAAAATGCAATACCTTGGGATCCGGGCAATCTTCTACATCCCAGAAGCCTACTCATGCAAACCCCAGACCGCTTAACTCCACAGCTGGGAACAACCTGCATTTTGGGGTTGGCTCATTCCTGGTTCGAGCTCCATTAAACTGCGGAGATCGAGGTTTGCTGTACAAGAGGTCCTGAATTTGAGTAATACCATGAAACGATCTCCCACCTGATCCAGGGAGGATGAGGGACCACTGGTTTGCAACCTGTAGAAGTTACCTGCTTGCTTAAACAGCCAAGGCCTACTTTGCAATAAAAAATAAGATAAAATTTAAAAAATTATATATTTTCCACTTTTTACATGTATCCTATAGTTCACACCCATTCTTTGCAGTATCTAAATACCTACAAATAGACCAGCGCAGAGGACAGCCTTTGTTTGCACTTCTCCCCTTCCCAAAAAACATGTTGCTACAGTAGCTCATTCCATCGCTAATGTCTACAAAGTACTCTACTGACAGCACAATGGGAACGGATATCTCTTACCTCAAGTTTGCACAGCCTACAGCTAATTTTAGTTTTTCTTCTTGTGTTCCTATAAGGAACAAGTTTTCTCCGTTTCTGCAATCAGAGCTGAAGATGAGGCCTCACGTAGACCTTCATATGAGCAACTTGGACTGGACATATTTTTAAGCCTAGATCAGGCATCTTTAAACTCAGCCCAGGTTCTTTTCCAAATTAAAAAACAAAAAAAAACAAGCAAAACCCCACAGAACTGGAAATTTGCAGCTGATGGTAAAAGAAGTCAGTGCAAGCAGAGGTGGATTTTGCTCAAAAATTAATGGCAGTTTTTTCATGGACTTTTAGCTAAGAAACAAGATGTTCTTGTCCATAAAAAATAAGGCATTTTGAGTATTTAATTTAGTATATGCATGCATGCCAAGACACTGCGTCCCACTGTTTTCGTGACAAAGTCTCAGAAGCCCAACTACACCCTCCGCTACGGATGTACCCAAATATTCGCTCAAAAGGAAAATTCTGCTGGCTCAGGAGCGTTAGCTCAGAATAAGCTGGCCACATTGAAAGAGGAGGAAAAAACAAATGGCACAAACATTTCTACTCTGTAAAAGGAAATTTGTTTTAGGGTGTACAAACGCAAACTGTGCTTTTTTTTTTTTTTTTTTTTTTTAAATTCACACAGGAGTTCCCAGCCCAATGGCGCTGTCAACAATCGACGCGATTCACAGCCGGGCGCAGTTTGGCACGAGACTCGCCACCCAGACGTACTCACGCCTTAACAGCGTGTTTTCCAGAGCAGAGGCACTCCACAGCCTGATGGAGTCCTGGTTGTAGGCTTAAAAATAAAACAGAGCAGCTAACTGTCACCGGAGCAAACCGAGATCTCAAAAAAAAATAAAATAAAACAAAACAAAAAAAACCCAAGGGATCTCCTGGGAGCACTGCTGGAACAAATAAGATTTAAGTTTCGTTCTGTGGTTTCTTTTAAGTAGTAAGCACAGTAAAAAATAAAAATAATAAAAAATAATGTGGGAACAGAGAAAAATAGTAATACATAACAAACGTTATCCAGAAGATGGAATAAGATGGATATGCTTTTTCACCTCCTCCTTGCAAACACATCAGACCTCATGAAGCACCTCTCAGCCCCATCAGCCAAGAGGGAAGGGGCAAGTCCGGCCCCAGCTATCAGGATTCCCTCTGCCTCAGCTCTTAAAACCTGTATTTGTGGAGAGGGAGGACAAGTCACCCCTAAGAGCACTCCTGCTCGAGCCCAGCTGGTTCTCACTTCATATCGTCCTTCCCTTCCCAGGCATTTCCTTCTGCGAACATGGAGGTTGGCGACCATGCAGAGCAGGTCCCACGTATTCCCAATCCTACCTCGTCCTCAGCGCAAAGCACTTTTAGCAATAACTGTGTTTACTAAGCAGCAGGGAAGTGTATGGGGTTAGGGTCTGGTTTTTATTTTATTTTAGTTCTGCCATCAGTTCCCATGAAGATGCAACCCATCATCAGCACCTCAGACTTTCCCAAGGTATTTGATATCGCTGTGCTGGTTTTAGATACGAAAGTCCCTTCAACTTCCCCAGGTGAACCAGAGCCTGGGCTAGAAAAACACATCTTAGGAGACAGCCATCGCTCCACATTGGCTGGACGCGGGCAGCCTCTTCACAGCTCTTTGTTCACGTCCACATGGAGACCGACAGCCAAAGAAACCATAAGCATACCAGAAAAAAAAAACAGGAACAAGGAGAAAATAGAAGTCTCTCCCAGCATGAAAAGGAAAATACACAGAGGTTTGGCCAGCTCCACGCCACTCACCCCTTTGAGCACCAAGACAAGTGATGCATTTGCATCTGTAACAGCAATAACGTGTGTGAGAACTTCTTTTCTATAACCCATATTAAAATGCATTCAGGTTAATGCAAGGCAGACCTCTTGGTAGATTTCCACCATCTACCCAAGCCTACTAAAACCAAACAAAACAGCATCCAGCATTTCCAGAGATCTCATCCACAGTCAAGGCTTAAGTTCAGGTTTCCATACCCAGCCACAGTCCAAAGTCACTGGGAAGAGGAGAGACAGGTACAGGGCATCAAAGCCAGCTACCAACCTTGGTGGTGTCATCATGTGACCGCTGGTACCGTTTCCAGCGGCAGCCGTAGATTCCCGTCAGGCATGACAAGCATAGCTGCGGCTCATAGTACTGCAGCGGTTGGTGTTTAACCATGCTCCTTCCAGCCCCTCAGGAGTAAGGTATCAGAAATCCATCAGGTCCTGGGAAAGTCCTTCAGCAGTAGGAGAAAAAGAAAGAAAGAAAAAAAAGGGGGAAGTCAAGAGCATCTCATGATATTTCAATGTATTAGCATACAATTTAATTATTAACTATGTCCTCTGGCTATTAAGAGAGGGAAAATGGCAATCAGAACTAATCCCAGCCCTGCCAACGTATCAGGCTTGTTACTCAACAGGATCTCAAGAAGTTTAATTAGTCTGCAAGTTGTATTTCCTTGTCTTGTTTCTCCCGCTCCACTAAAAATGAATATATTCATAGCAGCTATCAAGAGGAAATGCCGCACAAGGACAAGAGCAGTGGACAGACTATTTGAAGTCTGGTTGATTAGATTTATAGAAATGATTGAAATGCAAAAACCATACGCTCAGCTAGCATAACCTTAGCATTGACTCAGAAACCTCTGCAAAGTTGCACCCCAGCCAAAGTAAATTAGTTTATCATGAGCATCCTATGGAGACTGCAAAACAGTCCCAGCTGAGGAGATAACACTTCTGCGCTTGCTGCAAGAAGCGGATATTCCCCTTCCTTTGCACACGTCCTATGAGCCATAGAAGGATGTGGGTGGGAGGCAGAGCCAGCTGCAGCCTTCACCCAGGAAGGAGATCCCCTCTCCACCAAACTGCATGAACTCCCCAGGGACCAAATTGACTCCGAAACAGCTGCCCTATTTGACATGCGTGGGAACATCGCTGTTTCGAGGGAAAGTACTTTGCTCCATCGATTACAAGCATCGTGCGTCACAAGGCTGTATTTTTATATTTAGGCACTCACTTTCGTCTCTAGTGAGATTCATAACAGGAACAGCCCAAGTCATCCTACGTTCTTACTAATTCATAGAGTCAACATTCAGAAACGGGGACCTGAAAGCAAATGCTTGCCAGCCTGGTGGTGTCATGCTGATATTTCTCAGCTGTACTTAACTCCCACTAGGGGTTTTCCACCATTTCCTGGTGCACAAGTGCATACTCACAGCCCCACACATTGCTCTTGGTGGATAATCTACGCACTATGAATAGTGCTCAATGGGAACTGAACTTGCAAAGTGCTTGGCTGCCTCTGAAGAGCATGCACAGTTGCATGCACTACCTGCACTTTCAGGAAGCAAGTCAGCTCCCGCTCTAGGGTAACTGCTTCATTTCCTTATACTCCAGATCCCCAATGCTGTGGTCTTGCAGAAAGATATGACAGGTATGAGTAACAACATCCCCACTGGCATTAGCATAGTGTGGCAGGCTTGAGCAGGGGGGCTGGACTAGATGATCTCCAGAGGTCCCTTCCAACCTCAATTGTTCTCTGATTAGATGGCTAGGATACCTCTTTAAACACATAATGAGGAGAGTCACCCATTGCTATGTCCCATGGAAGGAAGCCACTAAGAACTGGGTTCACCCAGCTTTTTCCTACAGCTGATGCATAAGGGGATGGTGCAAGCATTGTGGCAGAGACCAAAAGACATTTCAGCAAGGGTACAAACAGCTCAACCCCTCCAGCTTCTGCCCTTCTCTTGCGTCCGCTTACTCTCTGTATTTTGCGCTGACAGCCCAGGACAGGCCTGTGCTGGCTTTCTCTAATTAGGACTCAGTATCCCGGAGGCAGACAGATCTTGCTAGCTGGCTGTTACGGTTTGAAAGCTCAGCAGACCGTTATTGTGCTGTCTCCAGAGCTCACAACCCACAGCTCCTTCACAATACACACACATGCTGTAGCTTTGTCCTTTCAGTAAATCTCTCTAGAAAGCTCTCAGCACTGCTCAAGGCATTGACCCAGGCAGATGACAAGGGCACGCAGGACTCGTTCTCTGCATAGCAGCTCCTGGCTAGCCTGGATCCCCACGTGTTCTCATTCGCCCCCTTGGGGAAGAAATGCAGGACAGCGTCAAAAACACCCAGTCCAAAACAAGAGCTATTTGCTGATCATCTGGCACCTCCATGCTCTCCTAGCTCATCTTCCCCCAAGCACTGCACCACCTCAATGGCTTCATGCTTGAGGTTACTTCCCTGCCCGCGTGTCATCTTCTCTCACGCTATTTATAAATCTCCGCGTTAGTCACTGCACAAGTTCCCTGCTCTCTTCCCTCCTCCAGGTTTTGTCTGCTTTGGTTTGTCTCCACGACATGAGTTTCCTGGGCTGCCTTCCCCATGTGCCAGTAGCACACTGAGGGCAGAAACAACTGCTGGTTAGAATAGGACAGAAACGCTGAGGACCCATAGAGTTAGGTGCTATTTAAGAGACTTGGACAAAGCCATCATCTCTGCCCTGAAGATCTTAAATGGCAAGTGATGTACAAAACATTGTGGGACACAGGCGGGACCTAAAGTCATACACAGTTAACAATGCCACATTGCTAGCCTGAAAGCCTAGCAGACTACAGTGAGTAGAAAAAGATCCCTCAGGAATTAATCTCCAAAAAACACCATTTCTCCTCAGTCCTACCTCATCCTGCTTCACTCATGCAAAGAAAGAGGGCAAATAGAAGACCTCAGTCTTATAAAAGCTTTTTAAAGGGTATTTTATTTACTAGCTTACAGGACTCGCATTGCAAACCCAACACAAGCGCAACGAGCATTTCAACGCTCTGTTCTTCTGGGAAGCCACTAGCTGTTCTCCATCCCTTCCCTCTAGCCCAAAGCACCTGGAGAAGCAGTGCCATACAGCAACCACACAAGAACACCAGATGGTCAGAGCTGGCAAATCCTGACTTTTCAAACAGAAATCCAACTCATCCAAAGTGGCAGAAGCCAGGGAGCAGAGGCTGGCCTTCAGAAATAATAAATCTCACATGTTACATAAGTCTTGGATCCATCTTTCCTCTAAGAAAGTTGAGACTGGAGTATTTTAGTCCCTAGCTGAAGCTTTATAATACAAAGTGTAACTTTAGGTAAAGACAGGAGCTTGTCAGCATCGCTGTAGCATTACAAAGTGGTGCCGGGATTTTGCAGAGATAAGAGCTACACTCATGCACACATACACACACACACGTCTCTGTGGCAAAAAAGAGAGCAATCTAACCCAATGACAATATAGAAAAAAGGACAGGAAGTAAGGAAAGATAACAGACAGTGCCACAGGTCTTTGACAGGGACTGTTCGCATATGATCCTAGGCTGACATAGACAAGAGACTACTCCTCTTCTTCCAAAAAAAGTCTTCTGGTCAAATCTGAGACACAGTGGCTATTTGCCATGTTGCCGTCTCTCCAATGGAAACCCATCTGGAAATGAAACCTGGACCCCAAATTGTCATAAAAGGGGAGGCAGGTGGAAGAGTTTGAGTTTGGGAAGCTTGGATAAAGCTTTAATCCATCATTTCTTTAGCAACATCAAAAGCATCTAGAGATCCACAAATGGAAAATCTAGTCTCTTGGACCCTCATTTCAGCACTAGATGAAGTAAAAAGTTCCCCCATACAGAAGGGTAAGTAGTCTCCAGATGCATTCTCTAAGAGCCCTGTATTTTACCAGCATAACCATTGGTCACCTGCTAATAGAGAACTGCAGCACAATACTCAGCAACCCCTAGCCCCTAGCAACCACTAGCAGGGCACACACTGCACATGCTAAATTTGTCTGGAGTGCAAGTTTTAGCTTGACCACCACCTCCAAATGCAGTTGCAGGTGCCTATCATCACTTCTCAACTCTTTGACTACATCTGAAGGGGCTAAGCATGGCAGTGGCACCTCTGTCACCTTAGCACAACTCATAGCAGGCAACTGATAGAGCTGTTGGGACAAGTGTCACAAGCTAGCAGGTACATGAAGAGCTCTTATCTCAAGACGTTTGTCTCAGAAGCCAGGAGCCATGATTCGGCCTTTTCCAGATACAAACATCCCCCTCCAACCCCATGACAGTGTATCCAGTAAGGCTATAAGCTAAAGGCATAAGCTTTGACCATGGTAACCAGCACATCCATAGCTGGTGGAGGCACTGAAGCCATTTCAAATGACATTGCTTTACCGAGGTACAAGCGCACTTCAAAGGAGAACAGGGACCAGCAACCAGCCCTTCTCCCAGAAAAAAAATCTTACCCAGAACCCCAGCAGTCAGGACAGGTGTAAAAGCTTCGAATTTATCGTCCAGTGCTGAAGAGCATCCACCAGCCTCCCACAGCAGTATCTAATCCAGCACCTCCCAGACTCCCAGAGGGAATCAGGACAAAAACAAGTGTTTTCAGTGTAAGAGGGCAACCAAAAGGCACATCTGTCAAACAATACCATCACCAGAAGGCACTGCTGGAGGGTTTAGGAGGAGCCAGAATCCAATACATACAACCAGGAAGGAACAAACTGGTTTTCCTTGGAAAAGATCACCAAGGAAAAATACAGCTGAGAAGGCCCTATAACCTACCAAATGAAGCTTTTGTCCCAGTCCTCTAACTGAGCCCCAAACACAGGCAGATGCTATGGGAGCCCACGAGCTTCACCAGCATTGCCACCTTCAGTCTTGCAACAGAAACCTTTCAAACTATTTCAGGCTGCTCTTTATAAAAGAAGTCAGGAGAAGCATAGAGAGGAAAAAAAAATCCAATGCGAGTTAAAAAGCCATTCCAGAAACGCAGTAACGCAAGTGCCTTTGCTCTGAATTGCACAAGGCACAACCTACAAGCCTAAAAATCATTCCCTTTTCTCCAAGAACATCATTAGGGGATGCACAGAAACCCACAGCAGAAAGGAACACACAAACCATGCGGCACCTGCCCTCCCCTTCTCCCTGCCACACGCAGACACCCAAGTAATAACAGGGGGCCCGGGAAGAGGCTGGAGTACCACAAGCAAGACACTGCTCAAGAGAAATCAGACTGATAAAATTACCATGCTGATACCATCTGTCCAGAGATCGTTGCTTGGCCGAGATCACAAACTGAATACTTACTTCTCCTGCTACCAGAAATGGATTTAATGGAGAGAAGCAGAAAGTCCGTACCCTACAATCACTGTTCCCATGACATCTGCAGCTTTGAGGTGGAGAAAGCAGTCTATGAATGATTCAAACCTCTG